CCAGGGTGATTATTGTGCTATGTACCATGGTTACCCCAATGATGTCAACATCACCAGTTAGCTTAACAGCTTGATAACGTATACCCAGCTATAAAAACAAAAATATGAACATTGAATGGCTAAGCGTGGGATCATCTCATGCATCCATTTTTGCGTCTTTCGTTGGGGCTGTATACAACAACTCTGATCGGCAAGTCATTCACAGCGGATTTGACTACTTAGCCGCGGCGAAGTGGCGGTTCTCAAGGCCTGCCATCAGCCATGTGCACCTCGCCCTACCACCGAGCGACAACGCCAAACTCTCACATGAGCCGAGCGCATCTCGTTTACGAATGCTGCAAAATGCATCAGCAGATTCTTTTGATGCAACATGTTAGCTGCGTCTAACCCATCTAACCTACCCGATAAACCGTTTTAAGTCACCATTTTAAGTCATTCGATAAATCGTTCAGAATTGACTGCTTGAAGTGCCAGGTGGTGAGCAGTGATCTAGCCCTGCCATCGGCCCTGCACATCTCAAGATCCTCCCATCGCCCTACTCATCTCTCTCACTCTACCGCCAGCGCCTGCAGAGCCGAGTGGTGAGTGTCATGTTGATTATTTGCGGGCAACCCACCTGATTATGGGACCAACAGCGCTGGCATAGTCCGTTCTGACCACTACACACTCATTTGGACCCGAGAGCACACTGAATTACATGTTGAAGCTCCAACAATGTTTTAATCTTCGATTTTCCTCTTCTAGCTCGTCTGGTCTACCATGTCCGTCGCAAAGCCAATCCTGCCACTACACCACACTGCACCAAATCCTCACCAGCCGAACAAGCCTGCACCGATGAGATCTCATCGAAATTGCCATACTTTGCAGCCTGGACTAGAGGTCAGTGCGGATGTAAACTGGTCATTTTTTGGGTTCATCGCTTTTGTGTACTCTTATTAGGGTTAAGTGCGGATTTTCCGGCTCTTTGTGAAGGGTTGCTGCGGATTTAGAACTTGGGCTGATGCGCCTCGTCGACCTACGAGCCATACTTTGCAGCATGGCTGTGTTAATTCTGCTCTACTAACACCAAGGGTATTAGTATATATTAGGTCCGAGTGGACAATTGTGACGCTGTTGATACAAATAGGTAACAGCAAAAAATTTAGGTTTTAGGTTAGGTTAGGTTGTAGGTTTGTAGGTTTTAGGTTTTAGGTTGGTAGGTTTGTAGGTTAGGTTAGGTTAGGTTGTAGGTTTGTAGGTTGTAGGTTGGTAGGTTGGGTAACGGTAGGGCAGGCGTCACCGATAGCTTCGGTGGTGAAAACAGTCAAGGTAGGTGTATTGCAAGTATATTGACATGGATATGGAAGCACTGTTGAATTAAATGACGTCAGTAGAATATACATATGAAAAAGTCTCTAGAACGTGTCAAGCGGGACAGAGTGGGATTCAGCCGGTCCCAGCGGGAAAATTGGCACTCAGCCGACTACAGCGGGACAAAGTGGGACTCGTCCGACTACCATGGGACATATTGGGACTCAGCCGGTCCCAGCGGGACACAATGAGATTCGGCCAGTCCCAGCGGGACACAATGGGACTCGGCCGGTCTCAGCGTGACAAAGTGGGACTCAGCCGACTACAACGGGACATAGTGGGACTCAGCCGACTACCGCGGGACATGGTGGGACTCAGCCGACTACCGCGGGATAAAGTGGGACTCAGCCGACTATAGCGGGACATAGTAGGACTCTGCCGGTCCCAGCGGGACACAATGGGACTCGGCCGGTCCCAGCGGGACAAAGTGGGACTTAGCCGACTACAGCGGGACATAGTAGGACTCGGCCGGTCCCAGCGGAACACAATGGTACTCGGCCGGTCCCAGCGGGACAAAGTGGGACTCAGCCGACTACAGCGGGACATAGTGGGACTCGGCCGGTCCCAACGGGACACAATAAGATTCGGCCGGTCCCAGCGGGACAAAGTGGGACCCAGACGACTACAGCGGGACATAGTGGGACTCGGTCCGGCCGACTTTGTCCCGCTGGAGCCGACTGAGTCCCACTATGTTCTGCTGTAGTCGGCTGAATCCCAATATGTCCCGCTGAGACCGGCCGAGTCCCATTGTGTCCCGCTGGGACTGGCAGACTCCCATTGTGTCCCGCTGGGACCGACCGAGTCCCACTTATATCCCGATGTCGGCCGAGTCTCCTTACGTCCAGCGGTAGTTGGCTGAGTCCCACTATGTCCCGCAGTAGTCGGCTGAGTCCCACTATGTCCCACTGTAGTCAGCTGAGTCCCACTTTGTCCCGCTGGGACCGGCCGAGTCCCATTGTGTCCCGCTGGGACCGACTGAGTCCCATTATGTCCTGCGGTAGTCGGCCGAGTCCCACTTTGTCTCGGTGGAACCGGCCGAGTCCCATTGTGTCCCGCTGGGACTGGCCGAGTCCCATGGTGTCCTGCTGGGACAGGCCGAATCCGACTTTGTCCCGCTGGGACCCGCCGAATCCCGCTATCTCCCGCTGTAGTCGGCTGAGTCCCACTTTGTCCCACTGGGACCCGCCGAGTCCCATTGTGTACCGCTGAGACCGGCTGAGTTCCACTATGCCCCGCGGTAGTCAGCTGAGTTCCACTTTGTCCCGCTGGGACCGGCCGAGTTCCATTGTGTCCCGCTGAGATCGGCTGAGTCCCTCTATGTCCCGTGGTAGTCGGTTGAGTCCCACTATGTCCCGCTGTAGTCGGCTGAGTCCCAATTTTTCCCGCTGGAACCGCCCGAGTCCTACTCTGTCCCGCTTGACACTTTCTAGACTTTTCATAATCCAATGACATCATATAATTCAACAGTGTTACCATATCTACAGTCGTCCTCAAAATTATTCATACCCTTGTTAATTTACGACATATTTTGCTTTTTTGATGAAAAGAAAACATTTTGTCGAGCTTATTTATGATTTATATATGACCAACAGGGGAATGAATAACAGCAACATACAACTGATAAAATATTCAGTTTCAGGTCTGTTTTATTCATGAATCTTTGAAAACACTCATGTTCAAAAATATTCATACCCTTGGTTTTCAGAGTTCAGTGTCTTTCTTCAGTAGTCGATAGCATATCCTTTGTTCCTTATTACTGCTTCTAGTCGGTTCCTGTAGGTGCTCACAAGTTTGCCACACGTTTCCTGTGGGATTTTGGCCCATTCTTCCCTGGCGAAAGCCTCCAGCTGGGTCAGGCTAGTCGGTTTCCTGGCCGTCACTCGGGTCTTCAAGTCCCGCCATAGATTCTCTATGGGATTCAGATCAGGACTCTGACTAGACCACTCGAGGACGCTGATATCATTGTCCTCGAACCATTCCTTGACTACTTTAGCCGTGTGTTTGGGATCATTGTCTTGCTGGAACTTCCAGTTGTTGCCAAGTTCCAGCTTCTCTGCAGATTCCTTCAGGTTTTCGTCCAGAATTTGGATATAGTCCTCCTTTCTCATGGTGCCCTGGATCCTGACGAGGTTTCCTGTGCCGCGGGAAGAGAAGCATCCCCACAACATCATGTTTCTGCCACCGTGCTTGACGGTTGGCACCGTGTTCTTGGGATTGTAGGCCTCTCCTTTACTCCTCCAAACATATGCAGCATCCATGTGCCCAAACAACTCCAACTTCGTCTCATCAGACCACAGGATGTTTGCCCAGAAGTTGGAATCTTGCTGCATATTGCCTCTAGCAAAGGCCAGGTGAGCCTTGCTAGAGGCAATATGCAGCAAGATTCCAACTTCTGGGCAAACATCCTGTGGTCTGATGAGACGAAGTTGGAGTTGTTTGGACACATGGATGCTGCATATGTTTGGAGGAGTAAAGGAGAGGCCTACAATCCCAAGAACACGGTGCCAACCGTCAAGCACGGTGGCAGAAACATCATGTTGTGGGGATGCTTCTCTTCCCGCGGCACAGGAAACCTCGTCAGGATCCAGGGCACCATGAGAAAGGAGGACTATATCCAAATTCTGGACGAAAACCTGAAGGAATCTGCAGAGAAGCTGGAACTCGGCAACAACTGGAAGTTCCAGCAAGACAATGATCCCAAACACACGGCTAAAGTAGTCAAGGAATGGTTCGAGGACAATTACATCAGCGTCCTCGAGTGGCCTAGTCAGAGTCCTGATCTGAATCCCATAGAGAATCTATGGCGGGACTTGAAGACCCGAGTGACGGCCAGGAAACCGACTAGCCTGACCCAGCTGGAGGCTTTCGCCAGGGAAGAATGGGCCAAAATCCCACAGGAAACGTGTGGCAAACTTGTGAGCACCTACAGGAACCGACTAGAAGCAGTAATAAGGAACAAAGGATATGCTATCGACTACTGAAGAAAGACACTGAACTCTGAAAACTAAGGGTATGAATATTTTTGAACATGAGTGTTTTCAAAGATTCATGAATAAAACAGACCTGAAACTGAATATTTTGTCAGTTGTATGTTGCTGTTATTCATTCCCCTGTTGGTCATATATAAATCATAAATAAGCTCGACAAAATGTTTTCTTTTCATCAAAAAAGCAAAATATGTCGTAAATTAACAAGGGTATGAATAATTTTGAGGACGACTGTATATCAATATACTTACAATACACCTACCTTGACTGTTTACACCGCCGAAGCTATCGGTAATCGGTGACGCCTGCGCTACAGTTACCGTAGGTTGTAGGTAAATAGGTAAGGTTAGGTCAGGTTTGATTATGTTTTTTTCTTTTATTTCCATGACATATAAGTATCATTTTTGGATTCAGGATGTCAAATAATGTAAGAATATGAAAACTTTATCTTTTTACAGTCACTCGGACTCAGGTAAATAGGTAAGGTTAGGTCAGGTTTGATTATGTTTTTTTCTTTTATTTCCAGGACATATAAGTATCATTTTTGGATTCAGGATGTCAAATAATGTAAGAATATGAAAACTTTATCTTTTTACAGTCACTCGGACTCAATGTATACTTTTACCACACCAAGAAGACTAGTGTTGTTTACCAAAGACTTACCTCTAGGGCAGTTGAAGCTCAGGAGTCCAGCGATTTTTGGCTTTGCAGACCACCAGCTTGGTCAAATTACGACCATGCTCATACAGATTAATATTGTAAATTCTCCATCAGACTGGACATGACATTGTGTCCTTAATTTATTCAAGTTGAGGTGGATACCGTTCAGCACATATAAGTCAATTAATGTACGAAGTCTTGGTTAGTTCTAGAAAATATAATTAATTTCCGTTGTGACACAAAACACACAACACAGCGCACTGAGCAACAACGCGTCACGAGAGAAAACATAAATGCTTACTTCGAAATCTCAGCTGCGTTGCGGCATTGGCGGTTATGTGCGGCGTGTATGCCGCATGATTAGTAAGCGGCGACCACTAAATTAAAAATTCAATAGCTTCGACCTGTTTTCAATGGATAACACTGCATACCAAAAATGTCCATCGCTCTCGTCATAGGATATTTAGATTTAAATAACTAACTTATCTACATCATTGTTTTGAACCAAATTAATACTCAGCCGCGAACGTATAAGGTATAACCCCTTGCCGTTTCGCTCCTGATCAAGCTAGAGCTTCGCGGAAAAAACGAGCGTGTTGCCCGTGACGAGAGAAAGCCGATGATACCCAATTTTAAGGTCCTAGGTTATCGGTTGACCTTCCAGGTCAGGTCAATGACCCAAAAGGCGGGAAAATTGGGACCTGTTAGAACGTCGTAGTGTGGCTGCTATGGGGTTTTTCGGGGTGCTGATCACGAATATCATGCTAGTTTTGATCACAGATGATGTCTTCATTCATTTAGGCCAGGTCGGGTAAGGTCAGGCCAGGTCAACCAGTAGAGGTCCTGCCAGGTATTTGTAGTAGGTGTCAACCGCCTCTGACAGCCTCGTAACATGTTACGAAGGCACCAAAACTACTTTGTAAACGTTCATGTGGTTGCTTAATTCGAATTCAGCTCGAAAAAAACTGACCTAGAAACATGTCAAACTCGAAAAAGTGAACCGAGGTCACCAAAGGTCAATGACCTGACCTGACCTTCAGGTGACCTTGACACCCACCCTAATGCATGGGGGCAACATCATATCACATGTTTGAACGCTTGAAACCACGAAAAGACTGCAAACGCGCTGCTAATGCGAGCCGACATACGCTGAATCGCGGTTCCGGCCAAACATGGTCTCGAAAAGTAGGTCACAGGTCAAAGGTCATTTGGGTCAGGGTCATGAAATTTTCAGGATGGGTGTTAAATTGATCAATGCGAGGGTACTGAAAGTTTCGTCGCGATCAGCCGCTTTTTAAGCGAGTTATTCGCGAAAAACCTTAGGGGGGTTGCATCAACCCCCCCCCCCCCTGTGCGGGCGAGGTCATGTTTTGATAGCAAGACTGAAACATACTTTTTTGGGTAGCCAGGAAATCGCATGCCAGAGCCTATTCAAATTCTTTTATCGGCCTTTATATGCACCAGTCGCATACAGGTACGGGATTTAGCATACGATTTCCAGACAATCGAACGACTGTTTGGAGACAACAAAGGAAGGAATGAGTGAGTTAAGTTGAAAGTATTAATTTGGTTCAAAATGATGATGTAGATAACCTAGTTATTTAAAGCTGAATATCTTATGACGAGAGCGGTTGGCATTTTTGGTATGCAGTGTTATTCATTGAGAACCGGTCGGAGCGTTTGAGTCTTTAATTTAGTGGTCGCCTCTTACTAATCATGCGGCATACACGCCGCACATAACCGCCAATGCCGCAACGTAGCTTAGATTTCGAAGTAAGCATTTAGTCCCACCCATGTCACTGAGCCTCTCAACGTACCAACAACGTACTAAGAAACCACCAATGAATGAGAAAATAATATTTACAATGACCCAGCCTACCCAACTAGCGAATCAGATGTACGGTTTCTGATGACGTAACTAGTTTCCGAGGATCTAGGGGAAAATATTTACAAGATTCCCTATATTTTCCAATATCTCCATAAATATCTCTAAATAGAGATGGGGTTCCTAAACCACAAGTACATGACAAGTACCAATCAGTTTACAACAGTTTGATAGAATCATTACGTTTAATCAAAATAACGATTAAAAATGATGAAATACTAGGACTTACTCCACAAGGAGATCGAATGGGTCGGAGCGCTTTCAATATGTATTATACATATCGTCGTCAGCGAATCAATAACGGGTCGAATCGAGTCGGGTATCGAAGAGGTTCGGGAGCTGCGCGGCAGATCAATTTAATTCCATCTCCACATCATGTCATTACGTCGATTAAAAATGAAGTAGTTTGAAAGTTTCATGTTGCTTTCAACAGGCATCAAATCATGAAAACATTTTAAAAATTTCAAAAAAATAATTATAAGTACCTACTCAAATCTCATCTCAAATTTGAATGCGCTTTTGCCGGAGCGCGCCATGCTTGCCTACGTGCGCGCGAGTTTTGATTCGGTTTTGAGTATTTTTTATTCTGAAGTTATTAGATGTAACGGAAGTTAGCAGGGATTCAGCAGGGGTTCAGCAGGGATTCAGCAGGGATCGACGGCCCCTACGATTTCGCTGAATTTTGGTGGATAGGTGCAGAATGGTGTCCTCTATCGAAAATCCTAGTGCCAAAATGCGGGGAATCCATCAGGGGGGCCACAAATCCCAAAAAACAGTATGCCCTCAGGGCACAATCGACGAACTTTGAAAACCCTACTTCTAGCCGTCAAAACAGCTAAAAATGCACGTCATTCGAAAGAGGACAAAATTTTACGTGCAACGGTACCAAATTTAGGGGGCTAGCGCCCCCCTGAACCGAACATAACAGCTTCAAATATATGGGCCCGGGAGTATGCCCTCGGGGCATAAATAAACGTTTGCAACAATTTCAGGCCTATAACATCGACAAAATCCAGCAATATGCACATCATTGGAAAGAGCGTAATTTCCCAAACAAAAAACCCAAGTAACATTTTTCGATGGGGCCCACCTGGGGCCCACGGGACCCAATTGAAATTTGGGGCCCAATGGGGCGGCCCCTACGATTTTCTTCAAAATTTGCACAGACACTCTCCTGGGCCCCCTCTTCAATCTGGCTGAAGAAACCTACCGGGGAATCCAAAGGAAGGGGCCCAAAGAGGGCCCCAAAGAGGCCCTTTCTAAGTATTGCCCCTAATTTCGCGACCAACCCCGGCAATATGCACATCATTGGAAAGAGCGTAATTTCCCAAACAAAAAACCCAAGTAACATTTTTCGATGGGGCCCACCTGGGGCCCACGGGACCCAATTGAAATTTGGGGCCCAATGGGGCGGCCCCTACGATTTTCTTCAAAATTTGCACAGACACTCTCCTGGGCCCCCTCTTCAATCTGGCTGAAGAAACCTACCGGGGAATCCAAAGGAAGGGGCCCAAAGAGGGCCCCAAAGAGGCCCTTTCTAAGTATTGCCCCTAATTTCGCGACCAACCCCGGCAATATGCACATCATTGGAAAGAGCGTAATTTCCCAAACAAAAAACCCAAGTAACATTTTTCGATGGGGCCCACCTGGGGCCCACGGGACCCAATTGAAATTTGGGGCCCAATGGGGCGGCCCCTACGATTTTCTTCAAAATTTGCGCAGACACTCTCCTGGGCCCCCTCTTCAATCTGGCTGAAGAAACCTACCGGGGAATCCAAAGGAAGATGCCCAAAGAGGGCCCCAAAGAGGCCCTTTCTAAGTATTGCCCCTAATTTCGCGACCAACCCCGGCAATATGATCATCATTGGAAAGAGCGTAATTTCCCAAACAAAAAACCCAAGTAACATTTTTCGATGGGGCCCACCTGGGGCCCACGGGACCCAATTGAAATTTGGTGCCCAATTGGGCGGCCCCTACGATTTTCTTCAAAATTTGCACAGACACTCTCCTGGGCCCCCTCTTCAATCTGGCTGAAGAAACCTACCGGGGAATCCAAAGGAAGGGGCCCAAAGAGGGCCCCAAAGAGGCCCTTTCTAAGTATTGCCCCTAATTTCGCGACCAACCCCGGCAATATGCACATCATTGGAAAGAGCGTAATTTCCCAAACAAAAAACCCAAGTAACATTTTTCGATGGGGCCCACCTGGGGCCCACGGGACCCAATTGAAATTTGGGGCCCAATGGGGCGGCCCCTACGATTTTCTTCAAAATTTGCGCAGACACTCTCCTGGGCCCCCTCTTCAATCTGGCTGAAGAAACCTACCGGGGAATCCAAAGGAAGGGGCCCAAAGAGGGCCCCAAAGAGGCCCTTTCTAAGTATTGCCCCTAATTTCGCGACCAACCCCGGCAATATGCACATCATTGGAAAGAGCGTAATTTCCCAAACAAAAAACCCAAGTAACATTTTTCGATGGGGCCCACCTGGTGCCCACGGGACCCAATTGAAATTTGGGGCCCAATGGGGCGGCCCCTACGATTTTCTTCAAAATTTGCACAGACACTCTCCTGGGCCCCCTCTTCAATCTGGCTGAAGAAACCTACCGGGGAATCCAAAGGAAGGGGCCCAAAGAGGGCCCCAAAGAGGCCCTTTCTAAGTATTGCCCCTAATTTCGCGACCAACCCCGGCAATATGCACATCATTGGAAAGAGCGTAATTTCCCAAACAAAAAACCCAAGTAACATTTTTCGATGGGGCCCACCTGGGGCCCACGGGACCCAATTGAAATTTGGGGCCCAATAGGGCGGCCCCTACGATTTTCTTCAAAATTTGCACAGACACTCTCCTGGGCCCCCTCTTCAATCTGGCTGAAGAAACCTACCGGGGAATCCAAAGGAAGGGGCCCAAAGAGGGCCCCAAAGAGGCCCTTTCTAAGTATTGCCCCTAATTTCGCGACCAACCCCAGCAATATGCACATCATTGGAAAGAGCGTAATTTCCCAAACAAAAAATCCAGGTAACATTTTTCGATGGGGCCCACCTGGGGCCCACGGGACCCAATTGAAATTTGGGGCCCAATGGGGCGGCCCCTACGATTTTCTTCAAAATTTGCACAGACACTCTCCTGGGCCCCCTCTTCAATCTGGCTGAAGAAACCTACCGGGGAATCCAAAGGAAGGGGCCCAAAGAGGGCCCCAAAGAGGCCCTTTCTAAGTATTGCCCCTAATTTCGCGACCAACCCCGGCAATATGCACATCATTGGAAAGAGCGTAATTTCCCAAACAAAAAACACAAGTAACATTTTTCGATGGGGCCCACCTGGGGCCCACGGGACCCAATTGAAATTTGGGTTCTAATGGGGCGGCCCCTACGATTTTCTTCAAAATTTGCACAGACACTCT